CAGAGGCGGAGAACAGCCCTCGGCTGGCATTGAGCTGCCTGAAACCTCCCCGTGGGGGGCGAGCGGGGGCTCCCGGAGGCCACAGCACCTCGTACCGGTGGGGAAGGACCGCCCCGGGAGGGGCATGTGCTTGTCCTCTTCCCCTCGCTCGGCTCCTGGCCTGACCCTCCAGGACGGCAGGGGGAGGGTGTGCTGTCCTTGACCTGGGATGGACATTTAGGGTGGCCTGGTGGTTGCCCTGGCTTCCGCTGGGTCATCTCGTGTTGTGGTAGCTCCCAGTGCAGAGCGGTTGGTAATGCAGGGTTCTGGGACAAAGGTGTGTGTTCACAAGGACTCTCGTTCCCTTTTGTTGAGCTAGGATTAACTGTTTTTGGCTTTCTGTATTAAATGGAAGGAGTACGGGGCCGTTTAAGGTCCAAAGTGGATGGGTTTGGCAGTTTGTGGCTCAGGTGCAGGGCTCCTGGGTATTAAGCACAGCACGCGTTTGATCTGCATGTGTCTAAAGGCCTTCTGAGTCCTTAAGGACACCCTGGTGAGGACTTGCGTTACCCACTGTCACTGCACACACAGGATTAATGTCTGGCCTCCTGGGGAGCTGTGCCTAACCGGGCAGGGGCCAGGCAGGAGCTTTGCTCCATCTCTCCAGCACACAGCACAGCTGAGCCGAGGTTTGCAGGATTTGCGGTGGTAAAGGCCAGTCACGAATGACTCTGTTTTCCTGGAACAGGGAGGGAGCTATGCTTCAACCAGCGCAGCCGGAAGGGTGAAGCAGCAATACAAAGTTTGGAAGGTAAACATGGATTCGAAGTAAGTACTGGTATGTTGCTTTATACGTTGCAGTACAACAAGGAGGAAGTGAAAGGTTTTGTTTTTACTGCCAGGTAAAACAGTTGCTGAAAATGAAAGAATGTAAAACCAGTTTGAGTGATTGAGTTGGAGTCTGACCTTGGGCTTCATTAGTAAAATCGAAATATAAAAGATGTATTGGTAAACTACCAGTTATGTGTTGTAGCCTGTTAGTGTCATTTCTAAAGAATAGCTTGGTTTTAAAATCTGGTTTAATCTACAGCAGGATGCGATCTTTATAACCTGTTATCACAAGCTTTATTGCCACAAGTTTCTTTGCTTTTGTGGAGGAAGTTTTATTTCTCCATTAAAAGCACATGAATGTCAGAGGAACTTATGGGTATATGAGGACAAATATAAGTTGTTGGCAAGTAGATGAGAACTTGGGTCTCTCTGCCTGCAGCAGATAAAATGAAATCAGCTCCTGTCAAATAAGAGTTAGGAAGCAGCACTCTAAATGCTGCTGATAGTCCAGTCATCTTTGGTAGGGCGAAATTAGGAGGTGGTGTGAGTATGGATGTGCAACCTTGTGTGACCACTTAGCGTTGAAACCTTTGGTAAGATGCGTGAAGTCTTTTTCTGCTTACATTAAAGCCGTTAAATAGTAACCTGTTAACCAATTACTTTCCTATGATGACAATTGCCTTGTTCCATTATATTTTAAGGGAACTGTTTAAAAACATTTATGATGTCAGATTTTTGTTCTTTGCTGGCCTCTCAGTTTTTTCCCAGTAGATATTTCTGTCACCTCTCTTAGTGTGGTCAGTTAAATAATAGTTTCAGTCTTTGGGATAACCGTAGGAGAGGGGAAATGGGGTTTAGGGTCACCCTGAAATAGATTTGTTACTGCTGGAAGAAGAATTCACTTCTGCTCTGCACTGCTTGGGCCCACTGAAGCTATCCATAGTTCATCTCAACCAAACACAAAATTACTAACAAGCAGATGTTGACTTGAAATTAGAGTTCCGCTGACCTGACTGGCTAGCTATGGCTGTAAGGAGCAGTCCCACCTTTAGCCCCTGCCTTTATGCTCCTGCTGCTTCCAATTCATCCTACGTAGCAGTTCTGCGGCCACAGAGTGAGTGTATATTCCTTATTGGATCAGCTGTTTTTCAAGGCAGGTTTTCTGATGGATCAGCCACCTGAAGCATCACCTCCTGACTACAAGGTCTGATACAGAGGGAGGCAGGGACCTGCAGCTGGGGTGGGAGAGGGATGGGGAGTGTAGGGTTGCACTTTACCTCACCTCTTCAACCTCAGAGAGGAGGTAGGAAACTCATGTTGGGTGGGAATGATTATGAGGTTTGCTGATTAATTGCACAACCAGTTATCTGATTCAGGGCCAGGGAGAGGAGGTGGAACATGCCAAACAAGATTAGCAAGTCCATCCACTTTTAAGGGAGTGAGGGAAGTGTCAAGCTGAACTAGGACACTGGGAAAAAATAAAGGTATGACAAAAATGTGTTAGCATAAAGGAGCAGACCTTTGATCTTTTGGTGGGATACTCTGTTATGTGAAGAGGTGGTAGTTTTCCTCTGTTCCTGGGGAAGAAGCCTATGTAGATAGTGAGGCTTTCAAATTGCCAGCTTTGACACAGCAGATACAGTTTGGTGTTGTCATTCAGCTGCCAGAGGAGTAGTTTTGATTTCTGTGGTAAGATGAGGCAATAAAGATGAGAGGAGAGAGGCTCACACCTTTGCCTGCCCCGTGGCAGCGTCTAGAATTCCCAGGTTAAGACAAACCCTTGGTCTTGGCAGGTGTGTTTTCTTCAAAGGAGATTTTGCGTTAGCTCACCTCCCGTTGTTTAGCAGGAGAGCTAGTCCTATATCCTACCTGCTTCCCGTCAGGAGCATGGCAGTGGCTGGTGCTGGCGTTAAGCCTGCTAGCTGGGCTGCCGGAGGATAGAGGTTACGTTGCAGACCCTGATGTGTTATTTGGCATCCTGCTGGAGTGGCTCTGCTGTTAGCACACAGGGAGGCTTGGCTTGCACGCATGAGTTGCGGTCACACCTTTTGCCTACAGTGCCTTTTGTCGTCTTGCTCAACAGTTGGCTCAGGCTTGCTGCGAAGTAACAGTGCAGCTGGTTCCTGTTGCTGTACCTGTAATAAAGGGTATTGTGTGTCTCTTTCTGCTGAGGGGCTTCGACTCAAATTTGAACAAACAGGAGGAACTCTACAAGATTTTAAACCAACCCCAATTGATGCTGCCACAGTCTTGCTCTCCCCTGCACATCATGTACGCACGTGAGCCTGCTTTCTCCCTTGCGCTGGATGAGCTGGTGTAGGGAGCTCAAGTGGTGAAAAAAACTTTTTTTCTTTCTTTTCCAAGTTTTCTGATGATGTGGTGCTTTGTGCAGCACTGATACTGGGATGGGGAAAGTGGGCTGGAAGAGGGAATGCTGGTCAAGTCTTGCTGGCAGCATTGGTCAGCAGCACCCACTCTCAAGCTGGAAGAGTCTATTCTGGGCTGAAAACACTACAGTCGTTTTTGAACAAATTCCAACCTCATGAATATTTCTGCTGTGTTAAAATAGATGTTTGTAAGGTGAGAAATTGCCTATTTGTAGTCTTTCTGGGACAAAAGCAGAGTGTTTTGATGTCAGCTAGCTTTGGATTGTGTTCTAAGTGCATCTTTCCCTTGCGTCCCCACTGCTTTATGCTATGCTGACTTCTCAATATAGGTTATACATGATAAAATTCAGAAAAGGCTGTGATTTAGATTTGCTTAAAATTCTCCATTAAGTTTTGATGTCTAGAAAGTTAGTTACGGTAATTACTTGTCTCTGAAATAGACAATTGCTGATTCAAATGTTATGATTAGGAAATATTACAATAACTCAATAAGAATGTTTACCTATCAGCTTCTCTTATTTGAAGATCAGCAATTAACAAAGGCAGTGTGAAGAATTTGCCACGTTGTGACTGAAGTTATAAGAAAAACCTGCAGGGGGATCAACTCAGCAGCATATTTTCCACGTTTGTTAACAGCCTACCATCACACAGCTTTGGGAGGATCTTAGGTATTCTGAAGAACAGATAACGTTGTCACGAGTACATAAGTGTGTCACTTAAAATTTGATACCAGCTGTAGAGTAGATGGCTCAGCTTCCTCCTGGGATTCGTTTCATCACTTCATTTTCACGAGATCAGTGGTAAGTCTTGAAGTATGGCGGTGACTTTTGTTTTGGACAATGTGAGTTTGGGGAAGATGATACCTTGCTCTATTTTTGCTTTTTGATTGCATAGTATATACAGCAAGAAAATATAGACAGTTGTGTAATAAATAAATGTTGCTGACATTCAAAACGTGAGATACTTTGTTGGGGGAACCCAGGCAGACTCTTACTAGTCAAATGTGCTAGAGAAGAAAGTCTTTTTTCCTTTTCTTTGCAAGGTACATATTTGAAGGGATACATTTCAGATTTTTCTTTTCAAACTCTTAGGTGGGAGGGGTGCTCGAAGTTAGCTTTGTTTTCTTAACCAGAAGTGTATTTTCTCCCATATAATTTGATGTATAATATAGACTTGTAGATTTACAGTTTTAGTTCTTGCTACTGTAATATTAAAAACAAACAAACAAGCAAACAAAAAACCTGAACAAAACTAAAATCTCTTTGCTTTAGGAAAACTAATCTTGGAAGTTGGATGGCATCAGTTCTTGTGCTTTCTGAGATAGAATACTGAGTCAACTGTGTGTGAATAACAAAAAAATTACAATTAAAGACTAAGCACTTCCCATTTCAGCAATTTTATCACATGCTTTCTCTAGTAGAGCAGCAAGGACAAAGTCATTTCAGTTTTATCACTTGTGAGGATATTTTCAGTTATGGAGGTGAATAGTTTTTTAAATGTCTTTGTGAATATGCCAGAGCTATAAACCAAGACCCTTGTTATGTGTAAGTTTATAAGGCAGAAAATGTTGGAAAAAGGATAATTAAAACTTAGGGACCATAGTATGCTGTGTGATAATCACATCTTTGTGTATATATATATATATGTACTTTTATTTACAGATGTTAATTTTAAGATCGGGGCTAGAAGGAGCCAGTAAATAATCTCTGTGTATTGTTAAAACCACAAATCCACAAAGCGCTCTCCTTCTTAAACAACTGAAACATGTTGCAGGTAGAGAACAGAATAGATCATGTTGATATATTTGTTTAATGCTCGAAGTGACAGGGAGTTTCAGATGCCCTTTTAATTCAGATGAACTGCAGAGAAAGACCCAAGGATACCAGTGAGGTGCAAGGGAAAATTCCTTCCCAGTCCCAAAGCTGGTTAATTATGTTGATGTGCTCCACCTGACAGTATTACACATTTCAGTGTCAGTTCCACCTGTCCACCTCTAGAAATGGCTGATTTCCGTTGTTACAGAGGAAACCAAAACTAAAGCAAAATCCTAACAGCAGTAAGGAGAGAAGTAATAACCCACAATAGCCAAACTGGCAATTCACAGAGCCATCGTTTACGTCTCAGTCATACCAGAAAACCGGATGAGACAGTGAAATCTGATTATCAGTATGTTTAATGTTGAACTGCTGTTTAATAGCCCTCAGAGGAAGGTTGTAAACAAGGCAGATCAGATCTGGGGGCTCCAGAGCACTGCCAGGTTGTCCTGCCCGCAGTACCTGTGTGCTGCCAAGCTCCCTCCCAAAGCTGGGTCAGAGCAGACCTTGTAAAGCAGCGTTAACTGCTCGAGAGGTTCTTCAGGCTGTTAGAGAACATGAAAAAAGTTGTCTTCCTCTACTCTAAGATTACCAATGACGAGTGTAATGTTTCTATGTAACTTAGCCCTAAAAGTCAATCCGAATAAAATAATTCTCAAATACTCTTTTTTTTTTTTATTATTGTAGGTATAGAGCCTTCATTTTCTCTCTCACTTTCTTGCTGTATGCCAGCTTCCATTTATCAAGGAAACCTATTAGTATAGTTAAGGTAAGCAAAGTCGTGTCCTTGTTTAAACATCCTTCTACTCCTGTCAAACACGGAAGTAGTCGTCTTTTTTCAATGTTTCCTTTGGTGAAAGGCAGTGTTAAATTTTAACTTGGAATGGTTTAAAAGATGAAAATCTGATAAAGCTAGTATGCATTGACTTTATTTGATAAACTTCCGTGAGACCACACCTAGAATATTACGTATACACCTAATCTTTGGGCTTAAGACTTGAAACAGCTATGCCCACACTTAATTCATGTGAATTAATGTAATTATAATTCTACATACCTAAGAGTTTACAAGTTTACATTCACATGTTTGAGAAAAGTTGCCCATAACCGAGTCAAATGTGAGAAAATTCTACTGGCGTTTACAAGACTCTTCCAAGTACTGTAGAGCATCGTAGTCATAGTTGTCTGTACACGTGGGACTCTGTTCCCAGTGAAGCTGGTGGCAAAATGTTATCTTATTTTATTTGTTTAATCTTCGAGCTGTATAACTTGGGAAACACAAATCAAATCCCCCAGGGCTGTTTTGTATATAACTGATGAGTAACAGTGGGCAAAGTGGCTTGATGTTAGTGAAGAATTTTGAAATTCTGCAGAATCAGAAACACCAGTTCACTGTAGCATGTTGTTTCTAACCCGGTAATGACCCTTTCCTGTAAGGGTGGCTTTACCCAACAAAATACCAAGCAATTAATAACAGCTTTTATTTTACTGATTTCAGTGGGTTTGGACACAGGTTCATACAGAGCTAGATTTATTAAATTTGTTGCTGTATGGGGATTAACAGTCACAAGTGGATTTTCGGTTTTCAAATTTCCTTTCTGTGTCAGGGAGAGCTGCATAAGCATTGCGGTGCTTCAAGTGAAGTTGAACTCAACTCCTACAAAGAGTATGCTGCCCAGATTCAGCCTGTCAAAAAGCCATCTAATGTATCTCAGTGTGGTTGGGAGCCATTTGGTAAGGGTTGGTTTTCTGATTTTGGTTTTTGCTTTCGTAATAATGAGCTGATATTCATAATTAAATTATTTGCCTCGTGCTTTTTTTCTCTTCATGTGTGGAGAGATTCAGGAGATGTGTATGGGAGGGGTGTTTTGTTTTCCATGTTCTCATTGATTTTTCTGAAGAAAATTAAGTTGTGACTTACCTTACAATGTCTCTTCTACTTAAAGTCACTTAAACAACTGATAATATTTTACATGTTATAGCTATGAGATGGTTTCAGTAGATAGGATTTTAGTCAGAAAATGAGATTTGTCTTTAGAATGTCTGTTAAAAAAAAAAAGAGTGAAGAATAAAATAAATAATTATAATTTTCTGCTGTTTTAATTCCTGGTCCAGCAATCATTTAAATGAAATGACTTGGTGTTTATCTAAATTGGAACTTTTCAGATTCCTTATCTGCCAGAAAGAATATTTTTCTCCCCATTTTAATGGAGAAAAATGAGACACTATTGCAGAATGGAGTTGACATCTTACTGAATAGCTTATAAATCTGGCCTTTCACTTAAATAGCAAAAAGATTTACCTACGTACAATTAAATTCAAATTTAAATGTGTTTGAATTTGGTAGAGATTTTGAATCATTCCTTGACGCTTTTCTCACTACCAAGAACATCAGTGAAGTACGATAGTTCATTTTGTCAATGTGCCAGTCCGTTCCAGTCTATCTAGCCATCCATTCTAATTATTCTTTAATTAGTAAGAAAAAAAGTCTCACTCTGAACAGAGATAATTAAAAATCTGAGCTCTGGGTTTTCTGTGGATAAAATTCTGTGTATTAGCTGCCTGATGCAGGGTAATTGGTCTGCTGAAATTATTTAGTCCCACAGGTTTCCAACTGTATTGGTATGCAGTTAAACTTCATTGCTGTTTCTTGTCCCTGAGCCACGGGGAGACTGAGTTTTCTTGTCTAAAACACTAGTTAGCTTTCCTAATGGAGTCTTCTGAGCTCCAGTGTCCTCCTTTTTCCTTGAACACACAAGTTATTGCAAAGCTGCCCCTTTGGGATGGCACTCTAGACTTGTTCTTTCAGCTCTGTTTTTCATGCAACATAGCTGGCAAGCTGGGAGCAACACTGAAAGGAGTGTTTTAATGACTGTGAGTTTATTCTCAAAGTCAATGGGAATTTTGACTCCTTGCAAATACACAGTACGAACTCAGATCTCTTGAGATTAGACTTGGTGTTTCCATCTGGATGGAGTCCCTCCTGCTCCCTCCATCCAGCCTGCAAGTCCCATTAAGCTATGATTATGGTCGTTTGCTATGCAGAGCAGAACCCTGATTTTTTTAAACAAGACTGCTATCTCTGTGCCTTACGAGTAATTGGAAAATGAAATGCAAAAAGCTTTAATTATTTTAAAAATATATACTAAACTGATTCCTTAAAGCCTATATGGCGATGGATTCTTTTAGTCATTTTAGCTGTTAGGACCTCACACGTTTGCAACACTTTCAATAAAGTCTGGGAAAATTTAGGTTTCCTTTTATCTAAGGACCTATAAAAGGGCACCTTGTTAACAACCGATGCTTCTTCTCTTCCAAAATGCTGTTTTGAATAGGGTAGAATTAAGAATGGGCCTACCAATATTTTCCTAGTATGTTACAGGCAAAAGGGCAGTTGTAGAGGGTTCTTCTTGTTAAATAAAATGTTTTGCAAAACACATGCTTAAGTCTAAAAGTGCCTGTTGAAAGTTAAATGTCAGTGCATGTTCACTAACATTTTTCTTGTAGTATGTAAAAATGATTGGGAAGTTCTCAGTACACTTAAACTGATAATTTGTTTTGAAAATTATTCTTAGATAAGAGCAACTACAAGCAGTTACTGGGAGCACTGGATTACTCGTTTCTGTGTGCATACGCAATTGGAATGTATTTAAGGTAAACCTTGCTCTCTTGGAAACCTGCTTTGTCACTTACTGTTAATTTATGAAGCTGCACTACTACTGAGAGATTGTCCTTTCGTACTGTAAAGTTTCTGGTGAAGAGAGTGAGAACTTGGTTGCTAAGGTAAAAAACACATCGTCCTGAGTCCCCAGTGTATCATACCTGTTGGTATGTAGAAAGCTTCTTACCTGCACCCATCCTGACTGCCTTGTGTGGGAATGCTTTCCAACTTGCAATCTAGCCTGTATTTCCTTCATATGGAATATCAAGGAATATGTGCTGGAATATATGTCCTCAAACTTTATCAAGTATCCAGCTTGCACATGTAGACTCAACTGATTGTCTTGGTTTTCTCTATAGACAAAGGACAGAGGCAGACACTTCCTAAAAAATAATACTGAACTCATCTTAAAATGTGCAATATTAGCTGTTGTTTGGAGATGCTTCTTTTTATTGGCTAAAACCAGACCCTTCATAACTAGAATCATTAGCAAGGAAGACAAGTCTCACTTTAAATGGCTGGAGACATGTCCTGCCTTACCAGTCATTTGGAAAATTACTCTGTAAGTAACTGACTTCCAACGTGCTTCAGTTTGAGTGTCTCCCTGAGAGATGGTTGTGCAGATGTCAGCACTTGGCAATTAGTGAACATGAAATGTTTGTTGTTTTTTTTTTTCTGTCGAGTGCTAAAAATTGCTCATTTACTGCTGTGACTGAAAACAGCAGTTACCAGTAAAGTTTCTCCTCAACCAGAATTAAACAACACAAAGTAGACTTTATTTGTGAAGGCTTGGGTTACGATCTCGTTTTTAACTATTGCCTTTCTTTTTATTTTCTTCCACATTCCAAGTGGAATAATAGGAGAACGGCTACCTATCCGGTACTATCTGGCAGTTGGGATGCTTGCTAGTGGACTCTTCACTGCAATGTTTGGATTGGGTTATTTCTATAATATACATAATCTGTGGTTTTACATAATGGCCCAGGTAGGCACAATGTTATCTAGATATTCTGGGTTTCCATGGTGCTGTTTAGTGTTATATTGGGTTTTCTTCAGTTCTGAACAGTGATTAGTGGTGGGATGAAAGGATGTAAATGCTGGCATACGTTGTTGTTGATGACAGGCAGATATGACAGAGTGGATAGCCCCAGGTTTTATTTTTGCAAAGTGTTTTTTTAGTGGAAGAAGTCTTTGAAAACAAATTAAAGTGTTTCATTCTCTGTCAAATCAGTGATCAAATCTTTGCAAGCTTAAACATAGGCGAGTTTTAAAACAAATGCATTTACTTTTGTCAGTCTGCCAAGACCTGAGTGATGCATCTTGGCTTTCTCTGCAGGAAAATTACATTTATACTGCTAATGATGAACAGTCTTCCACACTGGTGTGGCTGAGAACAGGCAGCTTCTGTAACGAGATTCATTGTGTGGAATTTTTCAGAGCACTTGTAGATCTAATCAGATGTCACAAGAATGTTTACTGTTGACCTAAAATGGAATGTAGGTCAGGACCAGGATGCGTTTAGCACTTCTGAGTCATTTTGGACAGGTCTGCACCTTGCACTGCTACTTCCTTTGTGTTATTGCAGTAGCACTTTCACCGCCGGCACGTTCGCATGGCATTATGCAAGATGGCATGTGGCGATACTAACTTGGGTACTGCAAGCTTTTATAACCATTTCACTAAGTCATCCATCTAACCATGTCACTATCCCAGCGCTCTTGGCTTACTTGGTTTCCAAGACAGGAGCTGGCTCCTTTAGGGGTTAAGCTCTCTCTCGTTACCAGTGCTGCACTGCGTGACGTGTTCCTGTAACACCAAGGATGGTCTTGCACCACCAGCCTAATTGGCCTTTGTTGGGTAGAGTGAGGTTGTTTTGTTGCACGTTCAAATGTTCACTGTACATGTGAATTAGTGTATTGCACTCTTTGTGTTAATGTGTAATTCTTGATAGGGAGCTTTTTAGGCATTGGGATGAGTTAGGGTTATAATCTGTGCAGCACGGAGGCTGAACAAGTTCTTACTTCAGCCTGAATATAGTAAGTTTCGTTTCTACTCTCAGTTTATTTACAGGTGTCTGTTAAGCATTTTAAAGTTAATGTTCCAAGTTACACAGTCTCCCCTAAAGTTTTCTTTTTTTTCTACTTTGTTTGATTGCAAACATGCTTTGCTGTATTTGCAAATTGAGATGAGTATTATGTTGCTGTTTGAGTTCGGGGAATTCGTTTCTCTGTTCAGTTCAGTGCAATGTGATTTTTGGTAAGCATGCGATTGAATTACAATCTTTTGTGTTTTAAATTATAAAATAATTGGAGAGATGTAGGTAGAGGGAAGAATCTCTGCAGAACATTGTGTTTGTTTTTGGAAAAGAATGCTTTCAAAACCCTCCACTAAATTTCTAAATTCAAAGCATTTGTGTAGGCTTCCTTTTCCCAATGCAACACTTATCAGAAATTGTGTAGGAACCTGACTTATTATAGGGTATGTTTATTTCTTATTATTTTTATATACTTTCAGATAGCTAATGGGTTGGTGCAAACTACTGGCTGGCCAAGTGTCGTTACATGTATTGGCAACTGGTTTGGAAAAGGAAGGTAAATAATACGTAATCCAAAGTTTTGAAAGTACAAATCAATATGTTTTGGACTGTAATGTTATAGTCAATTTAAAAATCTTTCTTCTGCTTCAGTGTTTTTTAGGGATGAAACAAGCAGGTAGATCTTTGAGAGGATTTTCCTTTGTTATGCCAATTAGTTTATATATCAGTTTGAAATATTCTCTGTCATGTCAAAACAGGGTTCTCTGATAGTTCTTTAGTCTGATGTTTAATTTTTCACATGAAATATTTCAGAATTGAGTTAAGAATAACTCTTGCAAATATTAACAATCTAAACCCACTTTTAATAAAGGCTGTTATTATGCCCCTTTAATGTGGATTTCTCGTGTTCTTATTTGTGTTTCCAAGCAGTTGTCAGGGTGTAACTCTGAAAGTATCATTTTGTCTAATGTCTTTTTTTCTAATGCAGAAACTTGAAAAATGTAATTAAAAAAAAGAAAATACATATGGCAACTCATTTAGGCTTTCTTTTTGTCACTCTTTAAATCATATTCTTCCCCCCGCCCCCGGCTTAATCCTGCATACTGATCACTCATAATGTTTATTTTGTCATACCATACAGGAGTTTTCCGTAATTTTTGCAAGAGCTGCTCACTAAATCCATTGGCTCTGATAATGGTTGATGCATGTAGCATATAGTAATGCTACTGTAGTGCCATCCATTGTAAATACATACCACTGAATGAACATTATTGTCAATCTGTTCAAGAGAAGGACATATGAAAATTAAGTATATGGTTTCTATATAAAATCACGAGATAGTTAAGATGTAGCCCGAACAGTTCCTGCAGCCTTTTTGGTGAATGTTAGAAAATGCAGAGAATGATAACCATCATACAATACCGAAGAAAATTAGCAAGTCTGTGCAAAACAAATACCTTTATTCAGATTTCGATTTGTGCAAAAGCAACAGTTTTTGCTTTTAGGGGATCATATAATGGACTGGTGGCTAGGGCTCTGGTTTGAATATCAGTTTTCTGGTTCTTGTTTTCATTTTGCTACAAATTCCGTGAAACACAAGAAGACCTCTTAGATCTTGTGTTCAGCCAAAGGAAAAGATTTGGTTCAGTTCAAATTAAGTTGCTCCAAGTAAACTCCTGCTGAGGGCAAGGCAATTTTCCCATGAATTACGAAGGGAAAAAACCCCAACCTTCTTTCTCTCATGACTTCAGTACAATTTTTGTGGTTTACATTAACTCAGCTGGGGCTGTTCTACAGCAGCTCTAATCTGGGATTTCCAGGCACACAGCAGTTTGATGTGTCTGTTAGCCAAGCTTGTGGCAGGTGTTATATTCTACTAGTGCCTAGCAAGTCCAGAATCTGATCAGAAAACGCTGAATTTGCTCTACCTGTCTTGTACAGATTGTTTTCTTCTGCATGATAAGTCTTAAGATATCCTGAAGGCATCAGATTATCAGTGCAATGTGTTTGCAGGAGGACTTTCATTCCCAGAAGCATCAGGCTTGGTGTGCACATGCTACACAACATCTGCATGCTTGTTTTTATCAAAGAAACTCTATCCAGAAGTACGCAAGCTGTAGCAGTGCCTTTTAATGCCATGCACACATATTCTGTCATGCACAGAGAAGTATTTAGAACACTTCTATTAATATTTAGGTGCCTTGAAATTGCCAGGTGAAAGACTGGAGCATGAAGAGGTGGTCAGTTAAAAGAATGATAAGATTGCAAATATTTCAGTAACACCGCAGATGAACAGTCATTTTTGATACGCTTTTCTCAAGATAGTTACGCTTATTGTTGGAATAATAATCAGTGTTTGTGTTGTTTTGTTTTGTTGTTGTTTTTTTTTTTTAAATGCAGGAGAGGTTTGAGCATGGGAATCTGGAATTCACACACTTCAGTGGGAAATATCTTGGGATCCTTAATTGCTGCTTATTGGGTGTCTACGTGCTGGGGTCTCTCCTTCGTGATGCCTGGTGTTATCATTGCTGTGATGGGGATTGTTTGCTTCCTGTTTCTTATTGAACGTAAGTGCTTTAATGGGATAGAACCATGGAGGGCTCATTGTGGGTGAAGAACGCCAGCTGGTTAAGCTAAATGACGCAATGCAAAGTATATATTCATCAAGCTGTGCCAATATTTAAAGAACTTCTTCCTAGAATAACAGATGGTGAGGAACCTGTGTACATCTAAAGAGTTTATACACTCAGACCCTCACGTACGTTGAGAGAGTAACACTTCAGAGTTCAGTCCGCTGCCCTGTCATTATTTCCCTGTCTTTATAAATTGTTCAAGTGATTCTTAGCAGAATGTCCCACCTGGCTGCAATGTATATTCTGTGCTACCATTCAACCCATGCCATCCATATTCTGTGTTATAAAATATAGAAATTGGCTGATAGAGCAAGTTCTGTCACTTTAAATTAGAAATTTAAAAGAAATGCCTTGTCTTGTCCGTATGTAAACTCAGAGATATTAGTATAAATGCTTATTTTACTGTAACTGTGCTATCTTAGGAAGTAAAATGTTCTGCAGATATAACTAGAATGCTGTAATGAGCGGGACTGCCAGAATAGCACTTAACATGATCATAGGATGGGAAGGGTACTGTGGAGCACCCTTTTATTTTTCTCTACCGTTACACATTTCTACCAGGACTACTTCTGTGTTATCTGTGCTGTTGGTTTATTGTTGGTAAATTACACTACTGGTAAGTGTTTTAAGAGATATTCGATAGCTTGTTTTCACTAATAACTATGTGTGGTGTTGTATTTCAGATCCTAAAGATGTAAGTTGCTCCTGCACACTATCCAGTGTAAGTGAATGCTTTTTCTATTTTGATTTTGGCCTCCTAATGCATATGTTTGTTGTGATAGTTCTGGAAATCAGATAATCTGTGACCCTTTTGTGCCAGGCTGTTGTAACTGACCCTATACTTGAGGGAATGGTTGGTCTTCTGTGCTTCACTGGTAAACCAGTAGCTTACTTTCTGTCAAAGCAATGTGAATCAAGAGGTGAATGAGTTTAACTGGTTTTGGAATAGATGATCTTACTACAGTAAACCACGTAAAAACTGTTCATCTTCTTTTTGAGTTTTCTTATTTTCCTTCAGTCTTCCTGGGCATCTTCAGAGCATTTTGACCTATCTCATGCTGTTGCCTTCTTTCCTTGCCTGCCTTCCTTAGGTGTGGCATAATGAGATGGCTGCCAGCCATATCCTGTGAAGGGTCTCACTGTATGAGGACCCTGTATCAGGCATTGCAGAAAGAAAAAAGAGCCCTTTGTTGACATGGCATCAATGAGCCGTGCATCTATGGGCTTGGGGATGGAAGGTGAGATGTTCCCTTGGATAGAGGGAAGGGCAGTAGGAGCACATGGCTAAGGAAAATAGGAGGCAGGGGACGGATATGAAGCTGAGGTGAAAAGATTGGAGCAAACAGTCAGTTTAGTCATGATACGATATGGCCTTTATTTAGCTAAAACTGACTTCAATGAAGAGCTGTGAAAAGGGGAGAGAAGTAATCTGTGCTTAGTGGTATGGGTCACATGACAAATTAATGCTTTAGTTTTTGTGGTATCACAGTAATTTAGATTGGAAGGATTGGGACCTCTGGACTTTGTACGGTCCTACCCTCTGCTCATAGTAGGTCTAAATTTGACATAGTATCAAATTGCTTGGGGCTTGCCTGTCAAATTTTGAAATTTCTGAGAATGGAGATGCTGTTTATACATAGACTTTTTTTTTTTAATATACATTGAGTTTTTAGAATGCATTGATCACATATTTTGCTGGCATCAAGACAGTGGATCTTGCTATTGTATGAGAGCTTATACTTCAAGGGTTTAAATTTTGGCAAGGCAGTGAACTTCACTGAGCTGTAAGTATACTATCACACACACAAACTGTGGAATGTGTACTGCCTGGATCACAAAGGAAAACGCAACTCTCTTGACGCAAGAGACTGAAAACCTAGCATCAGAGATTGACCGCTTAGGGCATTGTTGAAGCAGGATTGAAGCGCGCGCGCGTGTGTGTGTGTGTGCACAAATGTTTAAGCTTTCTTTGGGTTGTCGAAGATTGCAGATATACTTCCTTGTGCCATTGTGGCAGCAGAACTCATAACTTTTTAAAGTGTTTCTAAAAGGAAAACTTTCTCTTTAAGTATTAGTATAAGGTTGTTCAAACACTATTTTAAAAGTAGGTTGGAAGTGGTTAAGCTCTAGTACCAGGATGTTTGCCCAATGCTTTTGAAACAAAAGTTCATAAGACATTTTATGTACTCAAGTAATGTAGAAAGCCATGTCAACGGTGAAAAGATGTGCCTCAGAAAGCTTTAGCTACTACGTGAGAAGATGATTCCTTTCTTGCCTCATGTAACTGTGGCCCAAGAGGAGGGAGGCAATCCAAATAGAACGAGAGAGAGGAAAAAAAAAAGGCAAGGAAAGAGAACAAAAAAGAGAGCATTAGTAAGACTAGCTGTGTATAATTTCTCATAACAGAATGTAATTTATAGCCTAGTTTAGTTTAGGTGTGTGTTTGCAGGTTCATCTCTGTTTCACAATCCATAAGACTTCTGGTGCATGTTTGTCTCTGCTGTAACCAAAACCTGGAGCAGCGTGTTGCACCAGGCCCTTTCTCCTTTGTCTCCCAAGGACCTTTGAGCAATCAGGTCTGCCACAGTTTCAACTAGTTCTTTGGAAGAAATAGTAGTGGGAGTTTGGCAAAGGTGGTCTTAAGGTTTCCCATGTGTGAGGGCAAATGAGGGCTGTTGGGGAAGATGTCAGGGGGAAGGTCCCAAGGGAATCCCATATATGTTTTCCAATGCTAGGGGATTATACATGGAGATAGTCTGCACATGTAAGTATATGTGAACTATACCTTTCAGTTGCAAGTCTCACAGGTAGATTGTACAAGGATGATTGCTGGTTTTTTTACCACCACTCACCAATAGTTCCAGATAGATGGCTTTTTATGTTTTAAATGCTCTCTTTTTCTTGAAAACTTTTCTAATCTGTGTTACCTATTTGTTACCAGTTAATAGTTGTTTTTTTTTTGTTTTTTTTTTCTCCTCATGTGAAGTACTCCCGATAAGGCTTCTGAATACTTTTAATGGTCTGTGGAACTCCTCTTCTTAGTTTGTTATTGTGAGATAATGTGCTCACAATGCTCTCTTTATTTTTCATTTAATTCTCTTTCATTTCTTAAGAGTAACTTGTGTCAAGTATGAGAATATTTAAGTGACTCTTAGAGACTCCTAACAGAAGATGGTTTTTTTCCTTAGTTCAGAAATGCTCCCATGAACATTTCAGCTGCTGTTTATAATGCATAGAGCATAATGTTTACAGAATTTGCTGTTAAGCTTTATGGAAGTAAATGTTTGCTATTTGTTTCAAATACACTTTTACTGGAAAGCATAACTAAAGAGTTCTACACAGTATGTTGTTTATATGTCTTAAGGAGCTGATATGGAAAAAATTGACATTCAGTATTTTCTTTCCATGTTATTTTTAACAAAAATTTAGTGGTTTAGGAGATTTTTTTTCCCCTTCCATTCACCACCCTTTCCCCTACTCCCAGAAAAGGGCTAGCATTTGAACTAATCTTCTCCAGGGCACCAGCAAGATCACTGCCACAGGCATAGTCTCATTGTGTAGGGATGCATTTGACCTTCTTTTTCCCTGGAAACCTTGCTCTCCAGAGCAAAAGGCATCACTTCTTTCTTCCCTATTCCATATATTCATATCTGCAAGTCTTGTAGGAGGTTTGTAAAAGTTCTTCCCCGCCTGTCTCGGACCTTACTCAGATTAAGATTCGCCATTGTCTTGGGAAGCTGTATGCCATTTGAATTGCTCTCTTCATACCTATGTGGTCTGCAAAGTACAATGGATTCTATATCCTTAGTGAATAGGGCTCACAGCTTCTGTTCGCTGCGGGGAGTGTGGTTTTTAGAAGTTAAGGAAATTAATAAGGTAAGAATAGAAGTTCAAGAAGATCTCCTACAAATGCAGATGTGGTAACGACAATGTCTGACTGTAAAGAAAAATGATTGCTAATTGAAGGAAGGGTCACGTAGTAAAATAGAGTGTTGTTACTCAGAACAAAAGACTTCAACTGTGTCATGCAAGGGGTAGAATTTTTTGGCAGACATGAAACACTAGCTGTCATTTCAGTGACAACCTGTACAACCTGTGTGCTTTTTGCAAATAGAAATGTTTTTTTCTGAGATATTAAAGAAACATACACACTTGCTTTCTTCAGAAGACTGTAGTAGGTCATTTTGGACAGACGTCTTGGTTAGGTGCAGGCAGCTCTGCTAGCTGGTGCCAAAAGCTGAACCTCGTTGTGGAAGAATGAGGCTGGTTAAATTTAAGCACAACTAAAATGCTCAACGTGAGTGAAGGACTTAGGGTAGGTTTGTATTAGGATTTATAGATCAGATTCATCTCTGTGTGATATCACTATCTTGGATGAATTTGATCTACTGTTTATTTGCAGCACGATCGTGAGCCCAATATTTCTGCAGAGTTTGTAGTGGTGAGTAGTCTGATTTCATTGAGTTGTCCAGAAGCACAGATGGGGAGCCAGGCACAGAGCCTTGAATAAGCAGTTCTTACTCTTTATTCACTGATTTCTTGGACTGTGCTTCATTTTGCTTGTATTCACCTTGGCTCTGATTTATGAATCTGAAATTTCTTTCAAAACAGATATTTGAGTAAAATAAAGTGCTTTTAATGCTTGAAGGCTTAATCACTTTTCCAAAAGGCTATACACTATGACAAATGCAAGCGAGAAGTCAGTGTGCTTTATTAAGCATTGATGTGCTTTCATAACGAAAGTTAAAGAGTAGATTTAACAGCATTTGTGTAATGTGATGATTTAGAACTGTTTTTATTGCTCTCATCTTTTATTCCTGTACCATTTTTGTTTTTTAATAGATAAATATGTTAGTTGTAGCATGTTCATACAGACTTGTCTTGATGTTCTAGGAACTTTCTTTAACCTGACTTTGCATTTCCAGGAAACTTAGCTCTCTTAAACTCCTAAGGCAAAGTGCTTGTGTGTTTAAAAGATACCAGGCTGCAATTTTTATCTTTGGAAAAGGAGAAAGATGTCTAAGTATTAAATGTGCAGCCTCTCAGTCTAGTCCTTTTGCCCAGACATTTCCTTCTTACCACACTAAATCTTATTTTTGACAGTCAGATGAAGAAGCCTTTCATTTTTTTTCTGCTCAGCAAAGATGTAGATGACTTGTCTGTAGATAATGGATTTTCTTCCACACAGATTATTGTAAATCACTTTTTTGACAAAAGCCTAATTATCTGTAAGATAAAAATCTGTTTTATGAGGCCCTGGGGTTTGTGTTGTTTATTTTGGGGAAATGCATGTCCAAGACTGCTTATGCCTCAGTTCTGCATGGAGCAGCAAGAATAATTTAGTTTATCCTCAAAAGTGTTTTGCCTTCGTAGAAGGATTTGGTTGATAAATGGCAGCTTGTCTGAAGAATACTGCAATACATATCTTTGTATTTTTGTTGAGGAAGAATTGCCTAGGAATTAATTTTGAATTAAAATATTCAGTGAGGATGGGTGTGTGGTTTTGGTTGTTTTTTTTTGTGGTGGTGGGTTTTGGGGGTTGTATTTGGGGCAGGGTTTGGGTTTTTTGTTTTATTTTGTGTCTTTTTTTTTTTTTAATGTGGTATCCAGAGTGTTATTAGACACTTCAACAAACATCTCATCCCTGAGGAACGCACAGTGTCTCTTGTAGTCCTAGCAATAGATTGTCCCTATTTGACTGAAAACTTACTTTGAAGCTGTATGCTAAATTTGGTGGAAAAACCTTAATGTCCTGGTAAATTTCTTTAGACCAAGGATCTCGAAATGATGTTTTCCAATGAATGCAGTTTAGGTGTGAGCTGATATACTAATGCACTTGTTAATAAATAGGTATAAAAAGTAGGTTCATCTGGGGCCTAAAATATAGCTTGTTGCCTTGATTCCTGTACTGAGCACGCTGGAGGTGCTCAGACTCTTCACTAACCCTCCTGCCCACAAGAGCACAGTCTGTTTATGGATTAGAAGAATATAGTGAGCATAAGCTAAAGAGATAAACTTTTATCTTAAAAGGATAGAGAAATGAAGAATCAAGGTTTTCCTGAAACTAATCAATGTCTGTAGTTGCTACTAGGATCATCTGCTGATGAAGAAGAACCAAGTTTGCAATGTCAATGAAAGTTCAGCAGAGGAAAAGCAGCTAAAGGTGTTAAGAATGGTATGACTGTGCTCTGAATTCAGTATGCTGCTTCTATATAAAACCAGTATGAAGTTAGCCTTCAACTAAATATGTGATTATATTTTATGTACATTGCTGTAGGTCTGCGTAAGAACTTAAAACCCCCAAAATATACAGTCATTAAATTAAAGATGCACCATTTGGCTTATGTTTATGCTACAATGCACAGAGGCTTCTGTTGCAGAGAAATGATTAACACTAATGTAAGCCTTTAAAAAGCAAGCAACAAAAGTATGGAGTTTGTTTTGGTTTGTTTTTCCAGAGTTCTAAAACTTTCCTGAATGGTGCATCTCGATTGAGAGTCCAGATGCCAACCTTAAACACTAAGGAAACCAGCAAACCTCAGGTAAATTATAACATATTGTTGTAAAATAGTAGAGAAGACTTCTTGAAGCTTGCAGGATCGCTCCTCCTTTTATGATGCTGAAATCTACTTCCATCTCCATACACCAATGTAACTTCAGCTGAGGGAACTAAGCATTATCTAACATAAATACTGCAAACCAAGCTGAATAAGATAGCATGCTTACTCAGTTGGTCTTGTCTTGTGATCTTCATATAATTCCAGGAAAAAGTAATGCACTGCAAAATATTTTAAAGATAGTCCATTTGAAATCTTTAAACTACTGACATCATGTTTGTCTCATCCTTGCAGTCTCACTTCTCTCTCTTTATAATGTAATTAATCTTGTTAAGTACATACGTTTTACATGGAGACGGAGAGTTCTTAATATGAGCAATTATTCACAGAAATCTTGCTTAAACCTTGTAACTGTAAGTGCTGGTAATTCTCACTAGAAACTGAATTCTGGATTTGCCCATTTGTGAGCAAAAAGACGTTTTAATCTTATGATGGACATTAACTGAAAATTTCCATTTGAAATTCTGTATTTGTATTTAGTACACTTGGCATATCATATCCTGAGAGGATAATTTTTTTTTTTAAACTTCTTTCAGACTTTCACAGGAAAACTTGCTGTTCTTTTCATCCTTTGCCTATAGAATAATAATTAGCATTCACAGGGTATAATAATCAGTGTTGATGAAGAGGTTTCAAAATTTTTGCTGAAGAAATACTTTACTCGTAATTTTGATCAGTCCAGTTTAAACCCCCTCTGTACTGAGTTTGTTCATGTTCATTTTGAGCTGCCCAAGAACAGTCTCCAGCCTAGAAACCATTTGGCAATATTATTTCACAACCAGCTGGAAGATAAAGGGAGAAGATGGAAAGAATATCAGCAAGTGTCTTTAGAGAAGTCGTGAGGATGGAGCTAAACTATAGTCAGCAAATTAGTAGACAAAAGATTTCACTTCTAACTCAGCTCATACTTCTACTGTCAGCCTGTGCAAAGAGTCTGCGTGGCAAGTGGGCAGGAAGACGTAGCTCCTCTCACACTGACTGGTGCTCCCTTGTGAGCGGGACAGAGAGTCAACATGGACAACAAAGCATGAGGGCACTTGCTGGCAATCCTGCCAATATTCCATTTCTTTATTTTTTTCCTTTTTCCCCTTCACCCTGCCAGCTGGCTTTTATGTCTGTAATATGGAGTCCTAACAAGGATTAAGAAGAAATTAATAAAAAATTAAAAATCCTTGTTTGTCACTGGGACCTCTGATTTTCTGCCAGTGACAGAAGATAATATTTTTTTTGTCAAAGCAGAGTTGAACATCTTTTCTTTTTACAGAGGTTGTGTTACAGTTATGCTGAGCCGATTATCACAGTCAGCTTTTGTGCCTGTACAAACAACAGATGTTTTGCGTTTATGAGCTGGTCTCCTCCAAGCACACTGGAATGGCAGCTTGTACTGAGTTTTCATTGACCTCTTCAATTACTGTAAAAAGAAAGCAAATATTCAGGATATGCAGTGATTGAAAGCAGAATGTGTTTTTGGCTGCGTGACCTGAATACCTCTGTGTGTTCGTTACTGCTTATGTCAGGTTGGCCTCTTAAAAATTACACAGAATTGAAGGATAATGAATGCTTCCCCAGAGATGAAGACTGAGCCATATGCCTAATCACACTCTATGACAAGCTGGCAAGGCTGAACAATGTTATCTCTGCCAAGCACAAACTGCTGGTTTTATTTATCATTTAGCTACGCGCAGCATAAAAATCCCATATTGTTGGTAAAAGTTTCCAGCATGAGTTGCTAAATAAGTTATTTGGATTTTGGTCACTTCCATTTCAATATTGAACCCACTCTTCTTAAACAGGGTTAGAGCTACCTGTCTGTGAAATGAGCAACATTACCTCAGACAATCCTGATTAAGTTTGCTGTGCCAATTCTGCAAGCGAGACTCATTTGAGACACTATCTAGAAGTGTCTTCTATTGAATCCAGTGGGGAGCTTCACTGCTTAAGCCCTTGCTTTCTCTTCCTTTTTGTATTTGTTTTCTCTTTTTTTTTCTTGCTTATTTTCTTTTTGTTTGTTTGTTTTTCCTTTTTCTCTTTTTCTTTTTTGAAAGTATTAATAGCTGATGCTTTGAATTACTACTGTTAAAATAGTTCAAGTTTTGAAGTTGTTCCAGTAATTCAGAAGATAAATATTTATGATGATGATAGTGCCTCATGTGCCGTAACATAAGTTTACAGTGCTATGTCAGAGGTCTCTAGATGTTTTTCCTGTCTTCTAGTTAATCCTTTATCAGTGTGCAGGGTCTCCTGTACATCCTGTATCCTATCTACCAATCCTATTGGATCCTACATTTTGGATGCTGTGTGGTAGCTTCTACAATTATGCTAAGTGTCTGGACTCAGGTGCCCAGATGGTTCCCTAACGTCTTATCCTAAATGAAGTTCTTTAAAAACAGAATTTATTTAGAACCACTGAGTGCAAGATAGCAGAATTGAATTTGTCCAGCACTTAACTGTTGTGGGTTTTTTTTCATGTTCTTCCTCTGTCAGCTTACCAAATATTAATCAGAAAGTTTTAATCTTTATAATAACTACTGGAAATGGAATGGCCTGCCATTTTATCTTTACTAACCTACAGCCAAATATATATTTGAGGCTTAATTCCTCACTAAGGCTGTATTCAAATGCACAAGAATGAGAAGAAAGAAGACAGTATGTAGAATACATCCATAGCTAGTAAAAGTACACAGCTAGGTAAGCTTCTCAGAGGGCAGGTGAAAGTGAGGATAGTTACATCCCATCCTTTTCCTGAGTTGAAAAAGAAGTACTGATGACTGTTTATACCTGAAAGATAATAATAAGATATCGTCATGGCTAGGCTGCAATGGCTTGTTCTTGTTGAGTGATAACTTGCTCCACAAGTATTCTTAGCAGCCAGTATTAGGAAAAAATCCTTCCTAGTGCTAGAAGAGAACTCAGAATTCACAACTTAGGTTATATGGGTAAACTCCAGGCTTTTATAATTTGTGGATTTCAATGCTCAAATGAAACAGACATGAAAAAAATAAGTGATTACTTAACATAAAGAACTGAGTATTCATAATTACACTGGAAGGATGGCCTGTATTTAAACTGGTGAATAAGGTGATGTTACAGGACTGAAAAATGGGCTTAATATTTGTATAGAAGGAAGATAATACATGCTTTTATACAGAAATGTGTTGTAGTACTTGGTAGATTGTCAGTTTTAAGTAGACCACGTTTATGTAGTTGGGTGAGGGAAGACTGGAAATTGTTTTGTTCCATTAAACTGTACTCTGTGCTTTTTGCAACTTGAAATTGTGCCGCGATAGAACAGAAACTTGATTCCATAATGGAGTGTATGCACTCAGACGTAAACAACCAGGCTTATTTCACCTGATGTTCTGAATATACTCTATACTCTCTATATGTACTGTGTATCTTAAAATCAAGAGATTTTTAAAAGCTGTAACTTTTTGTGATAAAATAGATAATTAAAAAAAATATTTGGAATTATTTTGATTCCTCGATATGTATTTTGATGCACCGTTCCCTTGTTTTTCATATGGTGTTGCTGGGAAGAAATTGCAGGATCCAGAGATGCAGCATTTGCTTATCGACAGTGAAAATTGCAGTGTGTCACTGAACTCCAGTGCTGCGGTCACTGGGGAAGGTAGACATGGGACATCAGCTATCAGCTTCCTTGGGGCCTTGCGAATACCTGTGAGTACATTTGCTATTCTTGTCTGTTCTCTAAAAATTAAGTTTTACCTCAGAATTCATATTTCCATGGAGTTCTAGATGGAGTGGTAGATGACATGAACTTTGCATCACAAGCTTTGATTGGAAACTCTGGTGTATGTAGGCTAAAGCAGATACTGGTACGCAAGACAAGGTGCGCCCCTCTCAGAGGACAAGTGAAAATCAATGCAAGAGTACTGTCTTCACCAGTAAGCAGATGGCATAAGCTCGTTGGTTGTGTCTCAGAAACTACAAGCATCTAGGCTGCAGTATCCATATAAACTGCTTTTGAGATGTTTTTGGTCATCATAACTAATATGAGAGCAGCCTGTATTGTAAAAGTTTACTGGTCTTAGTTAATGACACGTGGGTATTAAGGATGGAGTAGCAGGCTGAGTCTATAACCACTTCTCTGTGTCAGAACTTCCTTCCTTGGCTTCCCCTTTACGCTCCTCAACGTTGTTCTTAAAAGCTTTAATTTTAAAATCTCTTGTGTGGCTTATATTGAAGTCACAGACAGCCCAAACATTTGGACTGCTGGTAAAAGGAAAGGAAGTTTCCTTTAGATCAGGAACTATCATCCTTGATTGTCCTCTCAGCTTGAAGTCAAGCAGCTTCTGTCGGTTGCACAAATAGAATTATATGCAGATTGGTTTGGACCAGGTGTAAAGGTAGGGGAGGAAATCCCCAGCACCCAACCAGTGTATTCCTGCATCTTTGCATCCTATCCAGTCTGATCCTGTCTCAACTGTTTTTCCTGTGGCAAAGTCAAAGTAATGGGTAGGAAAATTGCTGCTGCTGCCACCTGGAATCTCTGTAACTGTGGTATTTTTCCTGCCTGTTACTGGGAAGGGTCACAGCTGTATGGGAAGTAGAGCCAGCTGGGTATGTGTGTTGTCTGTGCGGATAACTGCAGTACTCCATACCAGGGATTTAAGAAACCGAGTTTCAAACAAGAAGATTGAATGATATGGTGAGGGGAATGAAGACAGATTAATTTAGCAGTTTAGTTGAAGGTCTGTGCAGTAAGTATGCTTTTCATGTACCCAGCAGGAAAAAGGATGGAACAAATAAGGATTTTTCAATAGGCACGTGCCCTGTCTGTAGTATGCTCTTATCCCATACTGACTTGAACTGTGTCATACTGGTTTACTGACTTTTTTGTAAAGAGTTAAACAATAAGGGAGAAGTCTTAGACCCATCTGAAGGAAGGATCTAAAGATCACCAAAATATGCCAATTTCTCTGGAATGCACTCCATACCTGCTATAATGCCATATAAATCTCTTTACATGAGGAAAATAAGTGATGCAGGTGTTCCAAACAGTTTCAGATCCTTCCTGTTCATTTTAGCGTCCTCTCTTCGGTCAATTCAGTACAATTACGAGAAGAAAAAACACGTAAGTAAAAGATCACAGTCTGCTCTGATTGTAAGCTTTGTGCTCTCAGAGGAAGAATGCTTCTTGGGAATTCTTGAGAGAAAAAGAAAAGCCTAAATGCTTCTTAGAAACCATTTTCATAATTGTCTTTGAAAACGAATAGCAGTCTGTCAAGATACTAACTTCCTATTTTCTTTATTCTCTCAGGGAGTCGTAGAGTTCTCCCTTTGTCTTCTGTTTGCGAAGCTGGTGAGCTATACTTTCCTCTTCTGGCTTCCCCTCTATATCACAAATGTAGGTAAGTATCACAGTAAAGACTTATAGAATTATGACTACAAAGTGTCTGGAAATATGAGCTTGAAATAAATAAGAAAATAAACATTACTGCTTCTGAAATAGGCTGTCTTTGCTACAGTAGCAGGAGAGTTGTAAGTCACCAAGTAACATATTTCTCAGTTTTATAAGTTCAATATTATGAGAGGGCATTTTCAAAATAAACAAATAAAAAAAGAATTTGGCTTATCTTCAACAATTCCAAATATAAATGCTGTGTCTTTGGCTGTTGCAAACCAATCAAAAAAGGTTTACTTTCTAATAATTGAAAAGTGCCTTATTAAAACGAATACAGAAAATCTAAATGAGCTTCTTTATCTGTTCAGTACTACTTTTTTGTTTTGTGCTGTAGAGTGCAGAGAAAGGAGTTCCCTCTGGCCAGAGAAAATCATGTTCTTGTGTCTCATGATGTGACCTTTGAAGCCCCAATTAACAAAAAAAAGCTGTGCTGGACAAGTATGGCACTAACAACCAGCACAGAGTGATAGGTTGAACACCCTATGAAAACACAGAGCTGCAAATCCTATAGCTAAAGGCTGTTGTGTGTGGATTTCAACTAACCAGTGCTCCTGCAGGACTGGATACCTTGAAAGCAGTGGGCTTTTAGTAGAAAGGTTAATGATACTTATCTCAGTACTGCCATCTGTGCTGTGGCAGGTGCTGGTGAGGTTATGGCAGTGCCACTGGCACCACTGTTTTAGCACGGACTACTTTTTCAAATGTATTTCAGAGACCTTAAAAAAAAAAATCCCAAACGGGTTTAGAAATGCAGCTCCTTTCACAACTTCACAGTTAACACAATAGGACTGGGTTGTCCAACTTTCTGATGTACTTCTGGAAATCTGACCCCATAGCATATCAGTGACTGCATTAGACTGTATGTGGTCTTCGCTGCCCGTGGCAAACAGTGGAGCTAAGGAAATCACTGTCTCTTCATAGTCCCCGTAAGATGCCTTTACCCCAGCGTGACAAGACTGTGTTGAAATTTCTATGTTTTGTAGTCTGGAAATGAGACAAATGTTTTTCTTCTGTCACTAGAACATCTTGATGCTAAAAGAGCTGGGGACCTTTCTACACTGTTTGATGTGGGTGGAATCTTTGGTAAGTTTTATAAATTAATATTTCATCCTTAATCGGACCAGTTTAGGAAAAGCTGCGGTATGGACAGCTTATGTATGTTATTAGACTTGGTGCCTTGTGTCCACTGAAGAAGAGTGGCAGTAAAGGTACCAGGTTGAGAGCTGGGTTGGTTGTTGAAAAACCTAGCAAAATATCTTCAAATTAAACAACTGTCAGAGCCAATGATGTTGTCCAGTACACATTGTAAGAGCCATATATTGTGGAATCTTTTAGCTCCATCAGCTCTGGCCCATGAGTCTTGGGCACGCTACCTGTCAAAATATTTTCCTTTTGTCACTCTGACATAACAGAACTATCCCAGCTTGTACAGTTGTGTATTTTTTGTCAGCACAGGGGCGAATGGCTACAGATGTTTTGGTGGTTTTTTTCTTAATGTCTCATATAACTGTATGTGATAAACTTGGGAGATTGTAATAATAAAAAGGATGAAAATATTTCTTTGTAATTTGTGAGGTGACCACTGAATAATTAAATTTTTATGCCAGTGCAGACAGTATAGCTCACAATAAAACAAGCATCATCATCTTGATGCCCAGCTGATTTGTGTGACCTGCTGTCCCCCTCCACTTTCCTCAGTTCCCTTATGGAAGTGAGCCCTGTATCAGTCTATTGGAAAATGATGCTCATGCTGGAGAAGTTTAACTGGATAAAGAGCTATGTAGACCTTAGTAGTTCAAGATGCAGGTGTCAAGGTGTGGTACAGTTACCGTTCCAGTCTTGTGCTGGATGAGACTTGTACCATTTCTCATTGCTCATTTCACCCCAGGTAGCTGAAAGCCAGAGTTAGTAGTACCTTAGAGATGTGGATGACTTCTTTCAGCAGCATCTTACTGCACTGTGAATACAATCTTAACAAGGTACCATGTGCTGCTTAGACCTTTGGCATTTACATTTAAATTCAAGTGTGATGTGCGCGCTTTGGAGATGGGCAGCTGGGAAGGGAGAGGCAAGCCCAGGGATATTTAGGAATCTGGAGAATCCTTCTTCCCCTACCAAGTTCCCTTTATGTCATTCTGGCAGCTCTGTCCCTCAGGCTGTCCAGCCCCCTCCTGCCACACGCTCCAGTTAGTACTTCTGTGTACAGTTGCTGGCAAACACCAGAAGTAGGGAACAGTAAAGAGCCCGAAGTGACTGCCTCTCTCTTCTGCCCCATTCCATTGTCTTGGATAGTTGGTTGGCATAAACAATGACGAGGAGCAACTATATGCTTCTGTTATCTTCCAAGTCAAAACTGGTTGGGTTAATAAGAATATTGCGAAGTGCAAATTATGTTGTCAGTCTCATGCTCAGTGCTGCTGTGTGTAAGCAGTCATTGAAAGTCATATCCTGTTGTTTTAACATGCACAGTGTTTTCCTCACACCCTTGCCCTCTTCTTTCAGGTGGAATTTTGGCAGGCCTGATTTCAGACAGGCTGGAGAAGAGGGCATCAACCTGCGGAATGATGTTACTGCTCGCAGCACCCACAGTAAGAGTTTGCTCCTCTCGCATAGCTGTGGCTGAGACTTTGACAGCATTCCTTGGGAAGTTCTGCAAACAGCATCTTCTAACTTGGATAACTCTTTAATTCAGGCCAGGTTAAAACCTGTCTTGAAAAGTTGAGCAAGTATAGACATTTGGGCTGCCTTTACCAAACAAACAAACAAATCTAGTGCGTTGCTTGTTACAGGACTATATGGAAATTTTATTGCTGTTTGGTGTCTAGTCTGGCCAGAATTTTAGCTGCTCAAAGGCTAAAATTTCTGTGCTGTAACTATTGGTAAACTGGCAGTTGGACATACGAGGTGTAGTTTTCTTTGTTTTGATTCTTTCGTGAACAGTAATCTGTGCTATGTTGAAGCTTGTAATTGGAGAGTTCAAATTGAGCGGTCTCATAGCACAGCCCTTTCTTCTGAAAGGACATATTGAGGAATAGGCGCATACTCCTTATCTCCCTCCTCTGTCCAATCAACTAACCATCCTGCTGTGGTCTGAAAGTGTTTAGTAAAACCTAGGATGTTAGAACTAGCTTTCACATAATCCCAGCTAAGAGATTTTTTAGTTACCGTGGGGAACCTAAGATTCATATGTATGCTGGTATTAAACATGTTTGTTTTTCATCTTTAGTTATACATGTTCTCTGCAGTCAGTAAAATGGGCCTTGAGGCTACTATAGGTGAGTGTTTTAAGTTATTTTCTGCCTGACTTTATGTAAACTTTTCATTTATGATCCTTTGATGCTCTTTCTTCTTTTTTCATTTTGTTTTATTTTTTCCCTGAAAGGAAGAAGTATGGAATCAAATTCCATAGACTTTGTCTTGCAGGCTTTTTACGGAGTAAGGAAGGAGGCTAGGAAATTAGTAAGAGGTGGCTTGAGAACAGTGACTTAGTTGATATCATTAGTCGTCTTTCTGTAACTTGTTGGATCAGCACAGGCTGTCAGAGGTGTTTAAAGACTAATTGTAGTACATTTGACAACATTAACTTTGTTTAGGCTGAATTAACTTATATATTTCTATCTGTTACCTCCAAACAGAAGTTGAAGAACCAGTGCTGACAGTAGTGTCTCGTCTACCTAAAGGTCTTGTTAAGTTTTAGGGCCCTCTGACTCTTGTTGCTGTACAAGCAGAGAAGGGGCTTATGGATGGCTCCTTGTGTGCTTCCCCTGCTCTTAGGGTCGATTTGGTCAGACTTTTCCCTTTCTCTGACCTACCAGGACCAGTAAAGGCCCTGGGAAAGTGCCTTTTGACTCAGCCCTGTCTCCTCTTATGTTTGAGAATTCACATCATGGAGTAAGCATTATAGGGAGATACAAATGTATGTTGCTTTTCGTCCTTTCACAATTCTGTAATGACCAGGGGAGCCAAGGAAGGACTAAACTGGATTTATGGATTTAAACTGAAAGAGGGCAGATTTAGGTTAGATATAAGAAAGAAATTTTTCACTCTGAGGGTGGTGAGGCACTGGAACAGGTTGCCCAGAGAAGTTGTGGATGCCCTGTCCCTGGAAGTGTTCAAGGCCAGGTTGGATGAGGCTTTGGGCAACCTGGTGTAGTGGAGGGTGTCCCTGCCCATGGCAGGGGGGTTGGAACTAGATGATCTTTGAGGTCCCTTCCAACCCTAACTATTCTATGATAAACCGTTTGAGAACCACAGGTTATGAAGTCTCTTGTTGCTATGGATAACAGTCGTTCAAACAACTCACATTTTACATTTTTGTCTCACTTGAAACAGTGATGCTGCTTATCAGCGGTGCCCTGGTGAATGGCCCTTATGCGCTGATCACCACTGCTGTCTCTGCTGACTTGGTGAGTTTGTCTTTCCCTCTGCATCCTGTGTAACAGCTTTGGCCTCCAGAGAGAGCCCTTTGACTTCTGCAGGGTCATCAGTGAGGGGGCTGCATTGTCCCAAAGCAAAGGGATAAGGAGCTGGATAGGCAGCGTTGGACTCGGATGTCAAGATTGTTTTAGAGTTCATGTATTAGTGTCAATGAGTGTCATGCTTGTGATAGGCTTCTAAATTGTCCTTGCCTGCTAACAAGACAGACCAAATCTTGTAGATCAGCACACAAGTGCTTTTCTCCCATTTTATACTTTGCATTTTTAAACGAGAGGAGGAGCTGTATCTGCATGAGAGATGAGCTGGAGACTTAACTCCCATCAGTGTGGAAAGCTATATCTGGCACATATCTTTACTTTTGCCCATGCTACCCTCTGCCCTTTCTTGTACTGTTACTCTGGTTGCTGGCGCTTTCAGCTGGATCGGGTCAGTTGATCAAAAATGCTGTATGAAAACATTGACTCCGGTACCTTTCATTAGGTAGGCTTTGGAAGGTTGGCACCAAAGTCCTCGAGGCACCAAGCAAGAGGCAAAAGTCCTCTCGCAACAAATACTCTAAATATAGGAGAAGGAGGAGGACAGAAGAAGTCTCCAAACATCCTCTGGAGCCCTATCCTTGGCCTGGAAGTCTTGCAAGGCAAAGGAGGCCACCGTACATTGCCTGTTTTATCTTTAGCTTTGTAGAAGGGGCTGCTAGCTAGAAAGTGGGGCCTAGCGTTGCAAGATCCCTGCCTGGCCCTTGGGAAGAGGGATGAAACTGCCAACCTGTTTCTCAGATGTCAACAGTCAAACATCTGACATGGGCAAATGTTAAATCTCTGGCTGCTTGACTTGATTCTCTTCAGTGTCCTGGAGATTAAGGGCTGTCTCATATTAGTAGTTCTCTACACTATTCAGTTTTTCTGTCTTTATACTAAGTCACTCCTTTTACATTGTTTTGCTCTGAAGACCTGGCTTTTAAAATTAGGACTGAACAGCTTCTTTTTGCTCAAGAATTCTCTGAATTAGGATTTCAGTATATATCCAGAATTCTGGTACTCCAGTATTCCTGTCACAGCAGTGAATTTTTTGTTTGGTTGGTTTTGTTTGGGTTTTTGGTGTGTTGTTTTTTTTTGTTCCATAGAGCTTTTTTCTTTGGGAGAAAGATGGCTGTGGAAACAGCCTTGCAGCATAATGCAAAGCTGAAGTGCTGTCCTTGTTGCTTGAAGCCACAGTGTGCAGAACAGAAAGCTTCTTGGCTCCTGTGGTTTAAATAACATGATTTAATGAAGAAGAAAGCTGTAGGCAACAGGTTGATGGTGTAGAAGGCTTCTTGAAGTAGTGATAAAAGGGTTTGAGCTAAGATATTTAAGGCAACTTCACAATGTACATTTAATGTGGAGGAGTGTGAGCTAAATTGCCATTGTAAGGACTTAGAGTTCAGCTCAGAGTGGTTCTAAGCAGTCTTTATCACTTTAGGGTACCCATAAAAGCCTGAAAGGGAATGCAAGAGCCTTGTCCACAGTGACAGCAATCATCGACGGAACAGGATCTGTAGGTAAGCCAGAGCTATAAGGTAGCCTGCCTTAGCTGTGGTAGGTTAAAATGACGGATCTTTGAGAACCTAGACTCTCTCCAGTTCACGTTTTGCCAGGATTTGACAGAGTTTTGGAAATGGGAAGTAGAGCAAACTTGACCTTAAACCTCTCTAGTGGTCCCACACCTGAAGGAGGGAGGGAGAGGGTGGTAAAGTGATAATGGGCATGGACAGCAAAAGTAGGTGCCATCAGTCTGTTTCTGACATCAGGAATGTTTTATTCATGCCTTCTGCACTGACATGTGGAAGGAAAAATTGAGTAAGATTCAGCTTAATACTGAATGAGCATTTTGTTAAGCCAAAGGATGGTGTTTCTCAAACTTCTAGTCTTCCAGCTTCCCCTGTGTTAAGTTTCCTGTTGTCTTGCAGCTATACCAGTATTGTTCTGCACTTTTTGGTACCTTTTAACACATAAGGTAATACTGAGTTAACTAGATGGAGAAATTGATATTCTGACTCAGAATAACTATCTTTTGTCATAGTAAATCTTACATTGCATCCTTGTGACAATATCAATATTAAATTTCAGGTGCAGCTTTGGGGCCTCTCTTAGCTGGTCTTATTTCCCCATCTGGTTGGAACAACGTGTTTTACATGCTCATGGTGGCAGATGCATGTGCCTTGCTAGTAAGTCTAAAAATACTATTTAGTTGTCGTGTATTTCCTTTGTGCTAAACTATCTCAAAATGCAAACTTTCCTTTTGCAATTTCACTACTCCATCTTATAAGAAACTTCTGATTGTGTAGGAAATTTTCAATTAAAGAGCAAAGTTGCTCGTTTTGAAATTCTCATCTAATTTTAATGAAAAGTGCAGATTAGTTCTGATGTACTTCAATTTCTGAGCAAACATACATCTGTTAATTGCTGGCTGAGCAGATTACAGCAGGCATAGTTTTGTAAACCTTCATATATAGACCTAGAAGATGCCTCATATTCCACTCACAGAAGAATTACTTCTGTTTTCTTTAGAGCTGGTTTAGCAAAGCAGTAACAAATGCTTCACTACATTGCTGTATCACCAAAATCACCGTGGTAATGAAGCTGTTGAAAGCTAATACATCACATTGTCCAGATGGGCTCTAAAACTGTTCTACTAGGTTAGACGAAAAACTGACATCTTAACTTTTGACAGTAACCAGGAGCAGATGTTCAGGGAAAAGGAGTGCAACACACATGTGGTGGCTTGGTGCGAAGCACATCCACATGAGATGAGGCAAGGGGAGTCTTGCTGTAGCTTTGAAGTCAATCTCTCTGCACCTACCTGTAGATTAGCCTGTAGGTTACATTTTTGCATTTGCCGTGGATTTCCCTGGCCGGCATCTGTACCAGCTTTCTTCTCCAGCAGAGCAGAATGCTGCTGTGATTACCTCAGAGATGTCCTGGAGTGTCACCTTCTTATCCTCTCTTCTCTTGAAGTCCTGGGTGGAAGTGCTCATGAAAAGGCAGGGTGACTGTGAAACATTTCAGGAACACTCCTTCCTCTGTACTGGCTGTGCCCAGACAAAGCCCTGTCCCTGCACAGTATCGCACTGGGCTCTGTGCTCCTGCTGAGGAGCTAATGCT